AATCCAATATAAATTAAGTACATTCACATGATTAAATATTTTTATGGTTTGGTTGATACCATACGTAATTTTGCATGCAGTATTGGGAAATCTCAAGAGTATTCACGGTGATCGGTCATCGTGTTTATAATCGGAAGATTTTGAAGTTTTTTCAAAATTCTGACCATTATTACTGTTTCTACGAAAGTGGTGAGCAGTTTGTGGTCTAACAATATTTTGATACTCAGGAAAACTTTGAATTATAGCCTTAAACAGATCTTTGTTGCCGATCTTCAGTTATTTAATGACGATTCGTGCATCACTTTGTACCAAAACCAACAAATGTGTTTTTTTTAAGTATGCCACTCGGTTTTTATATAGCCTGAATGTGATAAAGTGATAATGGATTGTTAAGTTATATTGTTTTAGAGAAATAGATAATTAAAAAAATACGTGAAATGATTTGAATGTAATGCGAAGAACATACTTTAACATAACATAGGGGAATTTACGTATTCTCGTCAATCTAAGCAGCGTCTGCATTTTCTCAGCGTCACGCACTTATATGATGTGTATATTGGTTTACATTCATCTGCTGCTTGCTTTTCTACCCATTCCAATCGACAGAATTTTTCAAAACGTTTTGAAAGCGTTTTTACAACGCTCCAAACTTCTCAGGTGAGTGTGACTATTGTCGGCAGCCTCTTTTTCTTCGGCAACCTTCGCATTAGAACTGCGTGTTAACCAGCTGTTCTATTATCGGCAACTCGAAATCAACTCCATTTTGTAGTGCGTATGCTTTATTTGAAGAAAAATGTAGCATTACTGGATTGCTCGATCGTTCAAATATAATCAGATTGAAGCTGAAAGGCTAAACAATCGTTTGGACACATTCAGGGAAGTGCGTTGATGGGAAAACATAGTGAAATTAACGTTTAAATTTTGGTTGCCGAAAACAGTCAATGGGTGCCGAAGCCAACATTTACCCTAATATTTTTTAAAGCAGTGGAAAAAAAACAACAGCTTTCTCATCTATTAGGTACATCATTTTTTAATCATAAGACTTTAAGGATAAAACATAATTCGATGATTTGTGCCAAACGACAAACTTTCAACCTTGCAGAACTAATCAAATCCACGAGCGGTGATCTTTTTTAATTCTTTATGTAAAAGATTTTTAGCCGGTGGTTAGCTCATCTCTAGGTGATCAAATTAATTTTGGTGCTTAATCCTTTTTTCGTTATTTTTTTTTAAATAAAAAGTTATCTCCTGATGATGCATATGAGAACTATCTTAATGGTGATGGTTTCAAAATTTATACGTTGCGGTATGAAATAGAAATCTTAAAATTTTTAAATATCTGGTCTGGCTATTGCTACAGGGGAAGCAATATTGAAATCTAATTCATTCAATATTAGTTACATTTCGGGAAAAAAAAAATAAGTTTTAAGTTACTGAATTATTATTTCGCTCCCCCAGTATTAATTAATAAAATTAGAAACACTTTGTTCAGAAAATAAAGGCATTTTTAAATTTCGCTCTCAGGCCTCAATGTGCACAATTTTGAAACCAGGACACTAATAGTGAAGACAATATATCAAGAAAACTGACAACTCTCCCGTTTTCTCATACGACTGCTATGAGACAGGTACAATCGCGTAATGTGCCGCTCAATGGTCGTTAGGAGATAAATTTTAATAGAATACCAACATGATTTATTTTGACGTAGGACTACATCTGTGATTTTAATATGGGGGTACACTTTGTGAAAACTGAAAATGAAACATGTAACAAAATTATGAAAGAGTTTGAACGCTAATAACTCAGCTGCCCCTGGACCAATTTCAATAATTTTATAACCAATCGATCAGACATATTTCTACGCATCTGTTAAATTTAAAACTTTATTATTTTCAAAATAATAATATTGACAATTGCACGAATGTTGCTTTGAGCACCGATTGCTTGTGAAAAGCGATTTCCCTAACACAGATTTCAGAGTTGAATTCCATTCGGTCTCACCAAACGGTGTTTATTCAATCACCGGGTGGTGAGTGGTGGTGTTCTCCAGTACACAACGAAAGGCTGTCTGGAAGCAGCAAGCTGCAGCTCACATGAGCATCCAAAGAAAGAATCAGTAGCTCTTCGTGAGTTGCTGTGGGCCAAATATGTCAAGCGCGTCATACTAAAGAGTATAAACAGAGAGAACCCTGCTCAAACTCCTATTCCTACACAAAACACAAGCTCCTACTGCAGTTAACAAATAAAATTTATTATATAAGACCACGTAGTTCTACGTCACCATTGCGTACAACCCCATAGGCTGTCCCTTGTAGTTTTTGCAACAGATGACGATAGTAAAAAATTTGAATGCGCAAAACCGGATAATATAGATTTTTACGAAATTAGCCCTTCTGCTAAAAAATAAAAAGATACATGTTGTAGCTTTTATTTTTATCGAACTGATCTACCTGTTTTGTTCTCCCTTCTAAAATCAAATAAAATCTGCTAAATCTAAAATCAAAATCAAATCTTCTAAGATTAAATATTCAATAACTTTTTGGCACTATGCTGTCAAAAGTGGTGAGATTAAAACTGACAGCTTACGTTCATCCTTTGCCAATATTGAGTTTTGATTCATACCGCAGAACAGTAGTTAATACGTGAAAGAATCGGCGAATTTAAAAGTGAAACCGTTTTATGCTAGGCAAGCGATGCGTTTTACGACACCAACCAACAAACAATTTTAGGAGCAGACTAGCTTATACAGGCAAAAATTAGCTGTATAAGCCAATTTTTGGCTGAATAAGCTAATCTGCAGCTAAAATTGTTAGTTAGAGTGTGAGTAATTTTTACTCATTCGTTTGGAAATATTTCTTAAAGCGTAGCTTACTCATGCGCTGAGAGACCTACGCTTTTAGAACTGTCAAGGAGGTGCAAAGGAGTCAACATCTCAAGGAAAATTAATTGTTTTCCGTCATTGTTGGGGTAAATTCAAGTTTAAAATATGCAAATCTTCTTCGTTTTTGGAGAGCTATCGATGAAAAATAACCTTACCGGTTTTCCCCAATTATTTCGGCACAACCCCCATGCAACTATAGGTACCTACACCACTATTACTGGAAAACCTACCCTAAATGATTCCAGTAGTGCAAAGGGTCAACGTGAAAGACATATTGGTCTATTGCATGTGGGAATCCTTACTATTTGTAGTACTCTAGCACATCGAACAGTTGATGTACTGAGGGACAAATTTATGACTAGGATATCTAAACGCCATATTAAACACGTCAAACTCTTAGTATCATGTCAAATTCAAAACGAACGCTACCGAAACTATTATGCAATGTTTGATTAACTGTAATTGTGCAATAGAGCACCCACCTCCCGATGGCAGTCAAGTAGTCAGTCAACGAGCCGTGTAATTTGCATTGCAATCTAGGCTTTCGCGACCGAGACCAAAGACATAGACAAAACACTCTGACAAGAGTAGCAAAGGCTAAACAGCTCGCAAGCCACTATGTAGGTATACACATTTTTTTCTCTGTTCAGCACCAGCAAGAAAGCGTGACGAAAAGTGTCAATTAATGGTTAAACGCGTCAATATTTCATGTTCAAACACGGCAATAATTGTGGTTGTGTCTGCTTTTGAGAAAAAAGACACGATTCAATTAGTTTTGCGGCGAATAATGGCACCCATAATGAGTGGAGGCTATTCAACGGTTGTTCACCGCGAAAGAAATCGACTGCGGCTGGTTTGCGGCAACGGTCTAAACTAGGACCGCCATCGGATTTCATGGTCAAAATTCATTTACGCGTTTGTAACGGTCATTTATCATTTCTGGAGCCCCGCAAGTGATGCTTGTTACACACCGAAATCCGAACAGAGCGGAACCAATTCTGTTAGCGGTAGCGCAAGAGGCATATTACATAATACATTTCGGTTGCTATTGGCGTTTTTGCCAATCTTCACTCGTTGCAGCCAGCGCCGGTTTGGTCCGAAGCTTTTCTATGCGGTGTTTCGTTCTCTGTCGACTGCAGCGGCTCTATTCATCAGCTAGTTAATTAAGTTTAAGGTCAAACTCTGACAACAGCAATTACCTACCTATATGAGGGGATTGATATATTTATCATGTTTATCACTTGGCTGGGTGCAGCTTGAGATTGACCAATGTTCAATAATGCTGCTCATATGTTCTCATAAATTCGTAATTGTAAGCATTAAATATATGAACTTCACTTCTATTTCATAACTCATAACTTAAATGAAGGATTATTATTGATTAAAATATTGAATATTATTAAGTAACAAGGAGGATTCCGATTCTAGCCTTGAGTTGAATTTTTGGATGATTAGTGTGTGAATGTACAGAGAGGTACCGTTGTTTGTGGATGAAGTTTTAGCCGATAATACTGTCCTCAAATGGTATATTTATTACCAAAAACTCAAGTATCAAGGAATCCAGAAAAACAATACCAGTTAAAGCTCTATCCGCAAACAACGGTACCTTTCTGTATCTGTATACTAATGATGATGATGATTGAAGAATATTTCAAAAAGAATAGTAATACAAATTGACGGTGTCTTCTTTCTTATTTTTTACTTTAATACGTCCCTAATGGGACTTTATGCCGCCTCTCAACTTAACACTAAGTTTGAGCACTTCCACAGTTGTTAATTGATAGCTTTACCATTTTTTGCATTAGTATTATTGTGTAGCAAGTACAATCATACAATTCTTAGACCGGACCGGGAATCGAACCTAGCCACCTCCAGCATGGTCCTGCTTTATAGCTGCACCTTAACCGAAGCCTTAAGTAAAATAAAACTGAACCCTTCATCAGAGCTATACTAAACATCAACGCATAACAGTCCCATTAGAATAGGAAATGTAGCAAAGATGTGACTGTTATGATTCTATGGGCAGTATAGTGTAACTGAAATAACATTCTGAGACTATAAGTCAATGATCATCGAATATTAATTCATCAAAACAAAGCAGGTATGTAAAGAAACTTACTTGATATGTTGGTGAAAAGTGTCCAGGCTGTCGAGCCTGTGAGCGACAAACGGGTTGAGGTGAACCGAGAGGACTGAGCAGCGTCGTTGTGCTGCCGATTCCTGTGTCGTAACCATGCATCTTTCTACTTAAGTATCCACCGTGGCCTGATAAAATGTCTGCAAAGAGGGAAAATATTATGGTTTAAAGTAAACAGGTTATGACTTTTATATAAACTTTAAATGACGCATGTTTTGATAGCAATTAAGGCATTGGATTACACACCTTGTAAAAATACTTAAGGTGGCAACGCGACGCAACAAATTTAAAAGAATCCTATTATTTATTATTATTCCTTGCAATGATTGCATCGTGTCGTGTCACCTGGTCGTGCCAATCTGGCCGCACCCTAAGACTCAAATCCCGCTTATGTAGCCGTATTATGTATAGGAAGGCTTCCGTTGCCTCATAAAGTTCTCAATTGTGAATGAGTGCTTAGTTGAGGCTATGTGTGTGTGTGTGTCATCCTCTATTTCTCATCCAGCTGGAAGCGTTGTATAAATAGAACTTCAAATCTTGATCGAATCCCATGCTCCGTAGTGGTGTCCTTTAAGCTGGGTTTAGACAGGGCAAGTCAATTGATCAAGTCAGTTGAATTCAACTGACTTGAACGCGAATTGAACGTGTAAACCATGCCATTCAACTGACTTGATCAACTCACTTGAATTGAAAAAAGTTGAACCAGGCTCAACTTTTCAAGTCAATTGAATTCAACTGAGTTGATCATTTGACTTGCCTAGTCTAAACCCAGCATTAAGCTGGGCTTAGACAAGGCAAGTCAAATGATCAACTCAGTTGAATTCAATTGGCTTGAAAAGTTGAGCCTGGTTCACCTTTTTTCAATTCAAGTTGATCAAGTCAGTTGAATGGCATGGTTTACACGTTCTATTCGCGTTCAAGTCAGTTAAATTCAACTGACTTGATCAATTGACTTGCCCTGTCTAAACCCAGCTTTATGTTGCGAAGATCAGTAGAGCATTTCCGCACCATCTGACGAATCGATCAGGTTTTACCCTTTCCGTTTCCATGAAACTTAATATAATTGTTTGCAATGGCTAATTATTCAAATTTGTGCTGGAGTTTGATCATTGTGAGCGCCTTATTTTTTTTTTCAAAATAGCGTATTCGATATTTTAAATAAATCATAACACTAAAACTTTTCATCTAATCGAAACGACTAACATCATGATGACGACATCGATGAATACTCCTATTGCAAAAAAAAACGTATTTTTAATATCTTTTAATTATATTTATTTTAATGCTCATCAAAAATGTTACCTTTTCTGAAATTTTCAAAATGGTTACCATTGTTAAAGGTTATACACATAATCACCCTTATTTTTGTTTGCATCCGTATTGGATACGTCATACATTTTAAACAAGAATAGGGTGAATATTACAAAATATTGCGATTTGGGCGTGGTAAAACTTTATTGATGTGTGTGGGGATGGGATCATCTTTCAAAATTGCCACGTAACGTGAGTAAGTTACGGGATGTAAGATCTACCATCGATTCCTTGTCCTGACTACTTCAATCTAGAAGAACAGAATTTTTCAGTAATTAAAGGAACACATTAGTCTTTGTTACTTTTTATGCCTTGGTGATAGTGACAAGACTTGGCTTTGTCCACCGAGGATGATCGTGAAATAAGGAAAAAACGAGTTAGTTAGTCTTCATCTATTTGTATGCAACTGTCCATCTTTGTAAGCAGCATTTCCTGCAATTTGCTAATTTACGTGAAAAGGAAGTTTACATGCATAAATGTTTGCATGCATGGATGTTAACATCACCTGTAAAATTCAGATTTTTTTCCGTGTAGCTACAACTTTTGTATATAACTCAAATCGGTATCTCTTATGCACGATGAACCAAAGCGAACAAAATCCACCATAGTTTTTCAGTGAATTTAAATTACATTCATTATTCACTGAAAAACAAAAACAAGCGGGCATAACGCTCTAGTTCGTCATGCATAAGAGACACAGATTTGATTTATTCTCAAAAGTTGTAGCTAATATCCTTAACCTACAAAAGCTTCATACATAATTTTACGGAATTCTATTGATGAAAAATATTAGAGGTAAATGAATGCACGAAATAAATGTAATTGATTGTCCAACAAATTTGAGCGAAAAAAAAATCGTAATTTTACGAAGGTAAATCTATTTTCATTGCGATAAAACGAGACGTTTTCGTGCTATGATTTATTGGGAAATTTATATTTTTCCATTTCCATTTTCAAAAAAAAAAAAATGTGATGTGATTCAAAATAGTTGAATTACATAACATCTATTTTATAAAAAAAATGCTGTAATTACGTTTTGTCTGTCTTAATATTCAAATAGAGTACATGTCCCTTGCCTGAGTCTAATAAACGACCATAAATTTTAATTATATCTCAACAAATTATTGACCTACAGACGAAATTCAACTGCCAACATACAGTGAATCTCAAAATTGAGCGTACACTTGAATGGATTTTTTAAACACTTTAAATAGATAGATTTTTGAAATATTAGCTGATAGTTCAACAACTAGGGTTATTGTCCTTAATGTCGACCTAAGTGTCCTTACTATTGGGCAAAGGCATAAATTTTGAAAGAAAGCATTTTTGACAATGTTTCACTAGCATGCAACAATATTGTTTTTTATTGGGCAGATTTAATTACAGCAGATTTTTATCAACATTAGAGCTATTTTCCCCATTTAGTTTAAGACTTTATTGACAGAGCCAGTATGAAGTTTGAGTTATTTTACGCTTGATTTTCAACTTTTTTTTTTGTGGACGGATTTTACTAAAATTAGTGGCATATGAAGGATCTTTATTATGACTGCAAATGAGCACAATTTCAAAAAGTTTGGTTCAAGACGTTTTCTAGAGCTATTTTTCTAACTTATTACAAACTCAGTCAAATCAGCCCAATACTGTATTGATAACCGATGAATGTTTAATTAATTTCAGCCGTAAATTCACAAATATATAAGTACAGCTGCACACTCAATTTTGAGATACACTCTACTTACTAATTATAAGGTCATAATTTCCGTAGCAATTGAGCAAGATAAACTTACCATTTTCACATAACAACTTTTCAGGAACATTTATTTAACATCGGCCTACTGTCAACATCTTAGGCTCGTCCCCTCGAAAATAGTCCTTGAAATGAGAATGCTGGTTGATTTTTTCAACCCAATCTGGATCACTGTTATATACAACACAATTCTCTCCATTTTAGTAGTAATTTCAGTAAGAAAATTAAACAAAAAGTGTTCTAAAAACCGAAAAAGTTGTTGTTTTTTCTCAAGTGAGCGAAGAACAGCGAGAGAAGATGGCGGCTAGGGTGGGTCAAGTTTGTATTGTGGATCAAAACCCCCTGTTCCCTACTGTTCTACCGATATGTACTGAGATTCCCAACAACGGAGTAACAAATGAACGAATTTTATTATGATCTGGATTTGCGGGAGAATTTTAAATTTTGTATTGGAAACTAAATGAACCTATTAATTTGCTTGCCAAATATTCAAATATTGCTCAAATTTCTACAAATCTTCATTCTTCTTTGTTGTGCTCCTCTTCATCTGCTATGCATGCTATCATGGTAAGCAAATACGACAAAGAACTCAAAGAAGACGTTAGCTGCTTGTTGTGTTTTATTCGCTCCTTGCGTCGCATCGAGTGTATCGCCCATTGTGTGCATCACTTTCTCAAAGATTAAGTTGGAAAATAGTGTGCGAAGAAAATGGGAGTACCACACACTCTTTGTCGAGTGTTCTGCTATGCATGCACAAAGTTGCTTGCAATCGCCAGCCCTGCAAATGTAGCATCCGACCTGCAGACAAACCAATATATCAATTTTCAATATTTAGGAACTTATACGAATTTGTGAGATCTTAGGCTAAGACAGATAACTGGCATTTTCATATTTTTAAGGTTTAATTCTTTCATCCCAAAAGGCCTGGGTTCAATTCCAGTCGGCGCCATTGGCGTCGGATTTTCTAAGGCATAAAATCTCTGATCAAGGAAAGTAAAGCCATTGGTCCATGAGTTTTAAGGGTTGATAGGTAGGGTCCAGGTGTAGGAGCTGCCTCTCTGGCATCGATAGCATTGCTACTCAGTACGGAAAACAAGATTTCACAATGCCTTGAAATTCTCCTCTGAGTTTATTCTCAGAACACTCTTCAAATTGTTTTCAATATACCTTCGCAGAATTCTCTATGATGCTCCCCGAGATTTTCTAAAATTGCTATTCAGAAATCCAATAAAAAATTACACGTCATTTGACTCTCCTCAAAACATTCTCATTTCGGTTAACCATCCTCGGAGTTTTGTCCCTTGGAATTCTTCTGGGGATACATTTAGAAATCTGCTCAGAATAACATTTGAGATTTTTTGCTTTTTTAGGATTTCATTCAACAACCGGATTATTTTAAGCTACTTATGGTAGTAGCTACTGCTACTACTGCCAAGGAGAAGGATACATACAGATGAAAGGAATGTGTTACGAATTGCAAAAAAATGAATTCTCTTCAGAATGCTATAGGTATTATCGTTAGATCTCACTTGGATTTCTCTTCTCATAGAGTTATTTTCAGAACTATCTTGAAATTCTTCTAACAATGCACCAGGTGTTGTATATTTCTGCTAAAAATTCCTGTATTTTTTATAAAATTTCTTGGAATTATGCATTGAAATGGTTTTCCAATCTTCTCAAAATTCCTTTGGAATTTTACTCGAAATTTTCAAGAAGATTCTTTGAAGTTTCAAAATAAATTCCAATTCTAAGAACAATCAAAACATTCCAACACTCTAAATCTTGTAGTATGTTTAAGAATGCAGCTCCTTGAATTTATTGCTTTTGCCACCTTGAATATGCCTGTTAGTCACAATTAATCGAAAATTTCTCCTAGTCCTAGAATTTTGAAGATTTTGTCTGCAATAATCAAACATGTCCGCGATCTCGAAGTGTTTTTCCTGGAACTTTTTTGTTTAATTAATGGATTCAAAAATTCATAGATTAATTTTCTCTATCCAATATTTGAGTTTACAGCCAAAGCAGCTCAATGACTTTTTATCTAATGGTTATCAAAAAACTTCATGTTTCCGCAACTCAAAC